GATGGATGGCAAATGATTTTACGTAGGGCACAAGGTTCTTAACATTGTAGTCGTAGGATTGAATCTCACGGAGAGTATTTCATAATTCGGAGGTCTCCCATGGAAGTTGCTCTCAATTAGGCGTTGGGGGCAGCCTACTATCATACCTCCCCTTATCCCATTACATATAGGAAAAAATGTCAGCTAATTTTTATCAAAATTACTTAACAAATTCTTGGTTCATGAAATGAATATATTTATTATATTATAAGTATTTTTTGAGTCTTATTATATAGTCTCAAAATAATATCTACCCTATTTCAGCTCAGATAAAATTATGCCAGGTATAATCTAAAAATATTTTTTAAAAAAGATACATATATATTAGAAAAAAATTACATGAAGACAATTCAGACTTCACGGAACAAATAAAGCTATTGACTCATGCATACCTTTCAAATAAAGCTGCTCAAACCCTAATCACCTAAAAAAACATATCACTATTGACCACTGGGTCTAAACACTTTACCTAACCCTAATTATCCTAACTAAATTACCAAATTGAAAATATTGACTCGATTATTTCAACTATGATATCATCAATTAAACAGAACCAAATTACATCTCACAAGAGATCAGTTAAATACATTTTGACCGAACTAATTTTCATACATCTGATAACCATCAAAACTGACATTTCCAGATTAAAAACGTAATTAATCAATTACATTGGATTTGTTACATCTATGTTATAGGTTATTATAAATGCTCGAAATAAGTTAAATTTATTACAATTGGTATGATAGTTATGATATTTGTTATATGATAAATATGATGTTTATATGTTAAAGAAAGATAATTGACGATGATTATGATATATAAATGTTATGTGGAAATGAAATATTTAGGGTATGAACTGTTCATTATTTTATGATATGAAGAGTTTGATATGTTGATATATTGATATCTTTGATAATTGTATAATATATAATAATTAATGGAAAATCTCATTGTATGTTGCATTGAGAGTCGTAGGTACATTTGACATGCCATTAATTTGAGTACTTCCTGTTAAGTTACGGTACATTCATGTACATTATGATCTGCACCGTTGGTGCTCACGTTATGATTGCACTTGGATAGCATTATATGTTTCAATTAAGATTGACACCGTGATGTGCCCTGTGCGCACCTTAGGTTATACTCACGTACCTTGCATTCTCATAAATATGCATTGGACTATGAATTTGAAAATAAGCTATGAATTTGAAAATAAGTTATGAATTTGACAGTAAGTTATGAGTTTGAAAATAAGTTATGAATCTGGAAATAAGTTCTGATTCAGAAAATAAATTCTAAAATGTTAAAGTATTTATTATGAACATGGAATATGTGGATGAATATGAAAATGAAAAATGAGAATAAAATAAGAAAGTTCTTAAAAGTATTTTGAATGAAATAGAGTACGACATGATTGTTATGTTTATTACTGATTATCATGGTTTTGAAAAAATCATGAGATGATGATTTTCAGGTCTCTGATGAGGAAAGACAACTTGAATAAATCGGTTTGGATATTTAATGATTTTATTTGAATTTAAGTTTAATGTTTTGAATTGTTATGATATTTTAAGTTAAGTTTTATATGAAGAAAAATAATGTTATGATGTTGTTAAGTTGTTTAATATTTTATTTCACCTTAGTTTGTTTATAATGTCTCACTAAGTAAATACTTAGCGTGTGATGATTTTAACGCATAGGTAAAGAAGGGCAAGTAAAGTAAGGAGTCGAGTTGGCATCAATCAACAAAGAACAACTACATGTATCAGTAATGACATCCTACTATTTTAAATTTTCTAAATGGCATGGATACGAATAAGAAATGTCTAAGATAAATTATTAGGTTATAAATATGAATCGAAGTTTTATATTTTATATAAAAATTATATTTTACGAGAACAAAGAAATATTTTAAAATTAGGCAGCTTTTAAGTAGTATTGTTTACTATTGAACTACTAAACTTGTGCCTAAAATAAAACTTGATTTATATGATAATTATTATTTTATGATTTTACACTATTAATGGAATAATTGTACAGTTAATAACGGAACAAAATTTTAAGCATTTATGATCAGTGAATGTTTGTAAAGTTGATGTGACATCTTTAGCTCGTATTTTGAGATGTATATGGGCTATGGGTGTTACACTTACGGGCCTTAAATAGGTCACTTATAACAATCCAAAGTGAGTAGTATCGATACTCTACTTGCAATATCGATACCCTAGGGTCAAGTATCGATACCCCTATAAGTATCAATACCAAAAATGGCCTCTGTTGTTGAAAAATGAGGCTTAGTATTGATACTTTTACCATGAGTATCGATACTGTAGGGGCAATATCGATACTCTTCTAGCAATATCGATACTCCCTGCTTGAAATCCCTAAATTTTGCCCCAATTCATCCAATATCAATATTGTTCATCACAATATCGATACTCAAACCCATAAATGTTTTATTTAGGCTTGGGAAACACCTAAAAATCATCTTTAATGTCTTAGTTTGGTTCCTAATCATGTGCTAAAGTGTTAGGGAGTTACTCAAGGTTATAAGATTGCATAAAAACGTCTTTTTTACACATAAAACATGATTTATTCATGAATTCAAAGATAAACCCTAAAATGCTCAAATATCCAAAGCCTAGCAAATTCTTTATATTTACAAAGCCTTAACACTCCAAAGGATTAGAAATACACTACCTTGATGTTTGAATCCCGAAATGAAGCTCCTTACTTATTCATAAGCCTATAAATGAATCGAACGAACACGAACAAGAGTATGCTCATGTTTGTTCGTTTAACTTTAACCAAACAAATGAACGAACATGAACATAAACGAACATGAAATTTCTTGTTCGTGTTCGTTCAATAAGGAATGTAGCTTGTTCGTGTTCATTAATGTTCATTCATTTAAATAATAAACGAACATAAACAAACACAATAACTGAACATGAACGAATATAAACGAGCTTTGTACAAACATAGAAAATGAACATAATCAAACACAATAAATGAATGTAAACAACAACAATAACCACATAAAATTCATTATTCATTAATATAACCTACAACTTCAGAGTTAAAATTATTTGGGTTTTAAATGAGCATGATTTATATTTTCTTTAGTTGATTTTAGTTTAAAATTATTTGGGTTTTTAAAATATTAATGATTAGATCTTAATATTTTAAATGGATATGTATATTAGGTCGAATATAAACGAACGAACATACATGGACATAAACGAACGAACATAAATGAACATACACAAACATAAATAAATGAACATAAATGAACGAACATAAACGAAAGGATTACCGAACATCCACGAACGTAAATGAACGAACGAGACATTTGTCTGTGTTCGTTCATTTAATTAAACAAACATAAAATCTTGTTCATTTTCGTTCGTTTAATAAATAAACGAACATAAACGAACTTCTCATCAAATGGTTCACGAACGGTTCACTGAACGTTCGGTTCGTTTACAGGCCCACTTATCCACACTCATCCCTTTTGTGATTTGGTTGATTTCTCACACTTTCTTCTTGTCTATGGCACTTGGAGAGGAAAGTGGGAGAGAAGAAAATGAGAAGAAATAAAGAAATGAAGAGGAGGAGAAGATGAAACGTGATAAAGCCTATTTTTTTTAAAAATGGGAAAAACACATTATTGGTCCCTCTTTATCTTTTCATTATTCAAAAATCTCCTTTTTTATGGCTAATTTGGTTCAAGTCCAACCCAATTAAGTCCAACGACTTAAATTATGAAATCCACGGGGTTCACAAACTCTTCGGGTAAACCCGAAGCTACTAATCCGAAATTTAAGGTGTTACAAGATTATTATATGTTGATATGAAAATTTTGTTTACGTGTCTTTGTGATATTGGAAGCTTAAGAAGAAGTTAGAGTTTCCAAAATAAATGGGAAAGAGAAAACTATTGTGGAAGAAGTTATTGAGTAAACTGATTATCTTATGTATACCAAAAGCTTGAATTAAGTGAGTGTAGTTAGGGATGAGCGTTCGATTGAGTCGAGTCAGGAAATTTTGAGTTATTTGAGTTGATGATTTCTATTTTACAACTCGGAGTTGACTTTAAATTTTTTCGAGCCGAGTCGAGTCAATTTTTTGAGTTTTTATTTAAATTTAATTGTAAATATTTATAATATTATAATATTATTTGATTCTAATTTAAGTAACTTCCTATAATCATATATACAATACAAATATATTTCTTCATATTTGATATACATATATCATACTAAACAGAAGGACTAGACTCAAACTTGAAAATAAATCCACTAATTACTAAAAAATTCGAGTTGAATTTTACAACTCGATTTGAACTTGAATCTTTTTTTAGCAGAATCGAGTTTACGAAATTACAACTCGAAGTCAATTCGAGTCGAATCGAGTAGAAAAAATTGGTTTTTGGAGTCGAGTCGAGTTTTGCTCACCCGTAAGTGGTTGATATAATGTCAAAGTTTATTTTTATATTATATTGTGTGTTATATTAATGTGTTGTTGTCATCCATGAAATTTATAATTGTTAAATCGAAAATCATATCAAATAATCAAGGTATGATGATGTGTTTTGATATTCAAAGTTTTTATGCTAGATGTGTTTGAGCATATTGATGGTTGCTACAAAAATAGAAACGAAAACTTGATAGTGATAAATTCCATGATTGCTTGGGCTATGAGTTGTATTAATAATAATGTGTGATTCTCTCCCTGTGAATTAATTGTATCAATGTTTATAATAGAAAAACGCTTAATGTTTATATTACACCATATTTGTAATTTTAGATTATGATTTATGTGTAACATTTATAATAAAACAAAATAATATTTATATTTAAATCTATAATTATAATTGTAATATTAGATAACATTAACCGAACCCTTTAATTCATGAAAATGGTGGGATATCCCATTTTCGAACTTCCACTAAAAAATCGAAGAATTTAGGAAGTGATAAAAATGGCGGGATCTTTGGCAATCGTAGAAGCTGAACGCCATGGGAACGAAGACCGAGTAAGCTCCATTCAAGGCCAATGGCAAGTTCATTTTGCTCGTTTCATAGTTTATCAATCTCTCCCTGCCATCTATCCCCCTCTCGTCGTACCTCTTACTAAGAGACAACGATGTCGCTCGCGTGGAGGCAACTGGATCGCCACATCTTTTCCAGTCGCTTCTTTGCATATCATCAATGGTCTCTCAAGATCCGAAGCTATCCTCACCGTTTCTCTAAGCGGGAAGATCCTTATGAGTTGTTCGTTACCGATTCTTCTAGTTCAATCTCTTAAGAAGTTTATTAATTCTGTTTGATTGATCGTTAAAATAACGATCAAAACGAATTTTCATTTTATCGGTGACAAGTAAAGTGTTAAGCAAATCAGAATACCGGTATTTTTAATTTTTAAAATAATGAGGAAAACGAATTTTCATTTTATCTGAAATAAATCGAGTACTAAGAAAATAGAATGAATCCAAGTTCGGAGAAGCGTGTTGATTGTTGATTTCTCATAGCCAGCATAGTAATTGCTCTCGATCCTTCTACTTTTCGAGCACAAATTTGAATTTATATTCCTGTTTCATCTTCCTTCACCGTGTTTTCTTGGATCAATTTTCTGGAGCTTCAAGGAACTTGTCTTATCCTTATTTACTTGATTCTTTTCATTTTCATTTCTATCATTTATAAAGTATAAGGATGCAGAAAGTATTGTACATGAAAGCGTATCCAAGTTTAGATTCTGGCTGTATTTTAATTTGATTTTATATCAAAATATCAATTCAATTTGCATTTTACTTGTTAACAGATTGGTTGTTTGCCTAGCTCATTATTTTTCGATCTTATTTCATTTGGATTTCCGTCAAGATTGTGTTCTACTGTTATAAGGAAATTGTATTCTCTTATTTGGAGCAGGAAGAGCACCACATTTCCAAGCTGCACTTCTCCTGGCCTCAAATCCAATGCATCCCTGAAATTCCTGCTAGGGGCAGCAGAGCTGTGTTTGTAAGCTACAAAGACTGCGCGGACGAGGTACGCCTTTTACATTTACAAGGGATAAATAGAATTTAGCATTTCATGGTCTAATAGAAAGTCAAAACTGGCAAGCTACATAATACATACATACATACATAGTCGTTTTGCTCTTGCTTAAGGAGTTTCATGGTTACCGTTAAAAGTGTTTGAATCCATAGGAGCAAAATACGAAAGGTATTTACGTGTTTGTAAAGTGAAAAAAAGTTTGAGAACTTCATTAAACAAATGAATGATGTAGGAGAAAAATGTGTGCAAACTTTCCTATTGTTTTTATTCTAGAGCCACTTAATAAAGATAACATCTCCCAGAGAGATCTTAGAATGGGAAACTATGCAGTCTAGGACACTATCAAGATATTTTAAATCTCCCAAAGAGACCTAAGCAATACAAATGGTTACTTTTCCTTTAAAGGCATACATAGATAAAGTTTAGTATCTTCCTTTATTGCAGAAAACTAATGGAACTCTATTTATATTTTGACAGATTCAGAAGTTTGCTTTGCGGTTTTCTACACATCATGAGGCAGTATCCTTCATGAATACTCTTCAGGTAGAGATACAACTATAGAAATGCTTACTTCTTGTAAAACACTGATTTTTATTATAATTATTGATTCATCTATATCCAATAATTTCGCTCTGCTGCTGGATTTTTTTCTTCTACACTGCAATGATGGTTTTTCTCTTTTTCAGGAGAAGTTCAAGGGTAAAGTTGAAATTGAACCTTTAAACACAGACTTCGGATCTGATTTTTCACTACAATTGGATTTCATATCTAGTAATGAACTTCCTTCTAGGTAGATACGAAAATTGAAAAGTAACACTTACCAATTGGTTTCTTTTAGAATATTTTAATATATGTTATGGGATAAATCAGAAGACAAATTACTGAAAACACTAGGAAGTGTCTTAAGAACAAATACAGAAAGAGCTAATGACTTTGTCTGCAGAGCCAATCAAGAGTTGAGTGATTTGAATCCTGAGGGTACTTGCACTCCGCAAATGTCCCCCAGTTTGAGCTATGAAATTGGAAAGCAGTCAGTTGATCAAGATGCGAAGCTTAATAACAATTCCGATGGTTCTTACACTCCTGAAATGTCTCCCAGTTTGAACTATGAAATTAGGCAGCAGTCAGTTGATCAAGATGTGATGCTTAAGAACAATTCCGATGGTTCTTACGCTCCACAAATGTCTCCCAGTTTGAACTATGAAATTAGACAGCAGTTATTTGATCAATATGCCATGATTAATAACAATTCTGAAGGCATTCTTCAACCCTTGCCCCCCAGTTTCACATCATTACTGACCAATTGCTGCCCTACCGCTGAAAAAGGTAGAATTTTTCTTACCTAAATATAGACAGCGATATCCAGGAACTGAATTCGTAACACATTTTCCTTAAATGATGTAGCTACCAATCAACCCAGAGTGTCTGAGGAAATCGATCTCAAATCCCAAATTGTGGTATTAATTTCAAACTATTTCTCGATAATTTTGCTATTACTTTGGATCCTTCAGAATTTAGAAGGCAAAGAGTACCTTATTGCTGCATGGTTTGGCATTTAACATTTCTGAAACTGCAAGTTTATCAAAACATCTCTACGAGACTGTTCATTCATAGTTTCGAAATTTTTTTTCCGCAGAAATACATGGAAGATTCTTCCTTCCAAGGTACATTTTTTTGTTTCACTTTAAATTATACAAGAACAGTAATCTCTGTTTGAATCGGGCACTGCCTCCATTAAACCATATATACATTTCGCTGGGAAAATTTTGTTTGATGCATCCTATTAACCCATTTTCTAAATTTCGAGAGATTATTTTTACAGATATGTTGACTAAAGTAGAGAAAATTATCAAAGAAGTTGAAGCTGACATTCAGCTGTAAGTTGCCTTATCTACCTGAGCTTTCGAACATGATCGAGGTACTCATATCGAACGCTAGGTTTTTTCAATATAAAGAGTGATGATACTACTACTCAATTACGTTGTAAGAAGACAAATTAGCTTACAAGTAATTATACTTTAGAACGAACAACCTTGTAAGTTAGCGCAACCTGGCTGCTGAATTACGAGTTTTAAGCCCTCTCAAATCCCAGAAATGCCACATGGATTCTGTATATGATGTTGCTAAGGGAAATTGTGAGTATATATACCAAAGACTTAATTAGTAACTGTGATAGCTTACGGTAATTACAAGAGAAATTTCACTATATCAAAAAAGAGATTATAAAAGGATTGTGATTATGCACCTCTGGGATTTATTTATTTTTCTTTCTGTTTTATTTATTTATTTGAGGCCAGGAGAAGTGCAGCTTGGAAATGTAATGCTCTTCCTGCTCCAAATAACAGAATACAATTTCCTTATAACAATAGATCACAATCTTGACCCATATCCAAATTGAGCAGTGGTCCACTACTTGAATTTTGACTGAATTGAATGATTAAATTTATATTTTATTTAAAATTTAATAATTTTATTAATATTTTATCTAAAAATTTAAAGTTAAATTAATAATTTATCTAAAATTAAAGGATGAAATGAAAATTTAATTATCTTTATCAATATACCAGTCATTCAATTAAAGATAATTAATAATACAAATAATTATAATATTATTTTTAACCAATAATCAAAATATGACATGTCGAAAATAATATGGATCATTAGTTTACCCAAATGTTAACCGTAAAGGATCAAAACCTAAAAACATTTCACAATATTGGCGCGTGAATTTTAAACGACGTTAAGCGGCGGCGTTTAAAAATCAGAAGTTAAAGTCATGAACATTTGGCACCAAAAAATAAAATAAATAAAGGTATCGGGTCGGGAGACGAAAGTCGAAGGCGAGCCTATGGTTCTTCCATTTAAAATCTGAAATAAAAAGAAAAGTAAATTAGTGTGGGGGTAGATCCTAACGAACATTCACAAAATATGGTTCAGCTTCAACAAGCTCGCTCGACTTTGCACTCCCTTCGTTTTGATCTCCCCTCTCGCGTTTGATTCAAATCAGATCTTAAGAAAAACCGTGAACCACACCGATCTGATCTTCAAAATTAGTAGGGATTTCGCAGGGAAAGAAATATAAAACACAGAAGAAATGGCGGGGGCAGCATCTGCACTGTTTCTTCTAGACATAAAAGGCCGCGTTCTGGTTTGGCGTGACTACCGTGGCGACGTCTCCGCCTCTCAAGCTGAAAAGTTCTTCACCAAGCTCATCGAGAAAGAGGTTTTTTTTTCTTTGTCTCCTTTTGCAATTTTGGGATTTCGATTTCATATGTAATTTATTTTTAGAATGAATGCATTTCTTCTGTTTTTTGCTTTTTTTCTTTTTTACTTCGAATCATTTTTTAATTTAGTTTTGCTCTAATTGGTTAGCGTGTTGTTGAATTCGGTCCTTTGGATTTGGTTCACAGGGAGATCCGCAGTCGCAAGATCCAGTGGTTTATGATACTGGAGTAACGTACATGTTTGTACAGCACAGCAACGTGTACTTGATGATCGCAACGAGGCAGAATTGCAATGCCGCCAGTCTTCTTTTCTTCCTGCACCGTTTAGTCGATGTAAGCCAATTCGGTAACTGTAGTTTTATGGCTTTTATTTTGTTCGAATTTTCGATTGAGTTGTGTTTTTTCTCTATGATCTCAATTCTCTGTATTCATATTAATATTTCAGGTTTTTAAGCATTATTTTGAGGAGTTAGAAGAGGAATCGCTTAGGGATAACTTTGTTGTAGTGGTATGTGAAATCAAATTCTTTTTACTTGCATTGGTTGTTAGACCGTATTGGTTTATAATTTTAGTAGAAGACTTTATAACTAGCTCTTTTTTATGCGTCTGGCAGTATGAGTTACTAGACGAGATTATGGATTTTGGCTACCCTCAATACACCGAAGCAAAAATACTCAGTGAGTTTATCAAGACCGATGCTTATAGGATGGAAGTTAGCCAGAGACCTCCAATGGCTGTTACGAATGCAGTCTCTTGGCGTAGTGAAGGAATAAACTACAAGAAGAATGAAGTAGGTGGTTTTTTTATAGTTATTCTTTTGAATTATTTTTAGTGTATTAATACACTAGCTTATGATAATTTGTTCGTCCTTTCAGGTGTTTTTGGATGTGGTAGAAAGTGTGAACATACTTGTCAACAGCAATGGACAAATAATTAGGTCAGATGTTGTCGGGGCCTTGAAGATGAGAACTTATTTGAGGTGTGTTTTCTGGTTGTTTGAAGATATATGATTCGTCTCAAGGGAATATGCTTTAGTTCTACACCGAACACTATCTTTACTTGTACAGTGTAATTGCTTATTTTATTGAATAGTATTAAAGTAGAAATGTAAAAATGTGTTTAATGTAACAAAATTTATACTTCAACAAATATTGCATTTTAGGGAGAATATGTGATAATACTGTTGGTTTGCAAGTTGCAAATAAAAGTTTAGTATTTGTGAATTTCATGGGGAAAAAGGAGATGCTGATTGAACTTGAAGTGGTAGACTATTGATATGATGAGACCTCGATTTCAATATACTCCATGCAATCTGGTAAAGCATTATTAATTTAGAAGTGAGAATTGGTGTCTTTCCATCTCTATTTTGCACCCATGTTGACAACACCATTCGTATGAAACTTTTGGTAGCCATGTCATTATCGCCGGTTATGCTAGAAGCTCTGAAATTTTGGCATTTCATGTATGCATGTTCTGTCTATGCTATGCAATAATAGGCAATTCAAACCTTCTTGCACACAGACATTGTCCAACAGTTGTTTTTTCTTGATATATATGGCACCAAAAGTATCCTTTCATTTTGGAAGTTCTGTTCTAGGCTGTCTATTTACTTATTTGGGCTCAATTATCTTTTTCAGTGGTATGCCAGAGTGTAAGCTTGGCCTAAATGATAGAGTATTGCTTGAGGCACAAGGACGGGCAACAAAGGGTAAGGCGATTGATTTGGAGGACATAAAGTTTCATCAGTATGTGTACCCTAACTCTCTTTTCTACTTGTACTTCAGTTTTATATTATATGCTTTCTCAAGCGTTGGGTGTAACAGCTAATGAAGTCTGATGTTGCTGATTTTCCTATGATTATTGCTTTGATCTAGGTGTGTACGTCTAGCTCGATTTGAGAATGACCGGACTATATCCTTCGTACCTCCTGATGGTTCCTTTGATCTCATGACATACAGACTTAGCACTCAGGTGAACCATTTTTCTTTTGAATTTTCATTCCCCTCTCTTTCTGTCTTTTCTGCCAATTCCTTTTTTATTTTTTCTGATGACTGATTATGGTTATTATTTCTCCTTATAGGTAAAACCACTCATTTGGGTGGAAGCTCAAGTTGAAAAACATTCAAGAAGCCGTTTTGAGATTATGGTAAAGGCCAGGAGTCAGTTCAAGGAGCGTAGGTACTGTATTCTTGTCCTTATTCCTGCATATTTCAACAGATCTCTAGGTGCTTATTTGATGGTTAGATTACTGAGATCTAATGAAGACAATTATTCTTTACAGTACCGCAACAAATGTTGAGATTATGGTACCTGTGCCTGCTGATGCTTCCAGTCCAAATATTCAGACATCAATGGGATCTGCAGCTTACTCACCTGAAAATGATGCTTTAGTGTGGAAAATAAGATCTTTTCCTGGTGGGAAGGTATCATCTGCCAACGCCAAACTTACTAAAAAATATCTGCCCTGCCATGATACTAATTATTTTGAAATTCATAACATTAGGAGTATATGTTGAGGGCTGAGTTTACTCTTCCTAGCATAACAGATGAAGAGGCAGCCCAAGAGAGAAAAGCCCCTATTCGTGTGAAGTTTGAGATTCCATATTTTACTGTTTCTGGGATTCAGGTATGCCTTCATATCCTTTATGTTTATTTAGTTATGCCAAATGTAACTGTTTTGTCAATCTTCTGATCTTCCTCATTCTTAAAGGGATATAAAAGTGGGGGAAAAAAATTCCATTTTCTCCCTGTTTTTTCATCCTCAAGCTTTCATCTGTCAAGAACTAGAGTTCCTATCTGAATTGGGGAGAACTTATGTTAACTTTCATTATTAATATTTATTTTCCCAACATTTGAACTAATATACTTGTGAAATTAACTCTTATAGTTGACCGAGAGTTAAACTGAAAGATAAACCAACAATTGGCCTAAAAGTTCATAAAATTCCAACCCTATACCTGCAGGCAAGTGTCATTGAAAGAGAGCGTGTAGTTAGTTTTTCTTTGTAGGATAGATGTCGCTTGTTTTGCGATGAATGAAAATTAAAGCTTAGACTATAGAAATAAATGCCACCCAGTCTAGAACAATTATGTTACGACTAAGAGAAGCAGTATGTTATCTCGCGTAATACATAAGGTAATTCTAATAGCATATAACAGGCTGATCAGTCAATTTATACATCCTGCAACTGGGTGAGGCATCAAATTGGTTGATTTATTTTTCCCAGTCGTAAAGAAGTGTGCTAAGCTGTCTAGACTGTGGGGCATTCAAGGTGGTGATGAATTGTTGACAGGTTGGGTTAAAGATATCAATCTATCATGATGCCAGCATATCAAGCATAACCTGCTGACCAAACATGTCTCATCCAAAGGTTATTTGAGGAAGGAAGATTGGTTAGCATGCTAGTTTTGCTTGCTAGCAAGCTATATATCCATCATGAACATGCTAATGATACAACTATAAGAACACGAGTCCGGCTCTTTCTCTTGGCACAACTATGTAGATAACTCTTACCTCTAGGAATTGGCCGGAATGATATTATTGTTGTGTTAATTTTCTAACAAAAGCAATCATTAAAAAAGAAAAAGAAAAAAAAGAGGAGTTCAAGTGTTTGGTGTTCTTTTTATAATTTACTGTTGGGGTTTCACAGGTTCGTTA